GATATTTTCTAATCTGTTCCATTTCATTCCATTAAAAAATTGCTGGTTGCAAGTCATTAAATTGATTTCAGGATTCACTAATAAGTACTTTGAAAACAAGTCATATAGACACTCTCTAAGCTTCTCTCCAGTTAAGAAATTCCACAGCACAGGGTGCCTCCTGGAGTGGGGATGAGGGCTGGGAACCCCAGGAAAGAGAGAGTTGACCCATTGGCCTTACAAACAGTCATTTTCTTTTTAATTGGATCATGTTCTTACTACCTTCAGCAGAAAGTTCTCATTATCAAACTAGTTGGCAAATATCACTTTAGGGCACAAATTCTCATAGTCTGTTCCATGGCATGTTTAGTGAGAAATAAATTGGTGTGTCTGAAAAAGGCTTTGGTAGTCACAGAAGTAGGACAGGAGAGTCACCGACTCTATGCTCCTCTTAGAGTTTTGATGTATACTAAGAGCTACAAGAATTCCCACAGGAAAGTAGTTTGCTTATCTGTATAACCTAGTGTTTTTCCAATCTTATTGACCCCAGAACTATTTTTTCAAGGGAGAGTTATTAACATCACAAAGAACATTAATGTTCTGAGGAACTTGGCTTGGGAAATAGCCCTTCAGGGAATTCTAGAACTTGTAAAATATTAATAACAAATATAAATTCTTTCTACAGTTACAGAAAGATTTCTACTTTCTCATATAGAATTATACTTCTTGATGAGAAAAGTAAAATTTAGAAGAGAAGCCCAGAAAATTGAGAAAATATCCAGAAAAAAATCTTGAATTCTTTAAAAAAAAACTTAAATTCTTGAAAATAACAAAAGTGGACTATTTGCAGACTACTAGGCTAGAGAATCCCAGGGATGGGGTCGCACAGAGTCGGACACGACTGAAGTGACTTAGCAGAAGGCTAGTGAATACTATAGTACTGATACATCTTTGATCATTGACATATGAATATATTTTAAAAATATATAAAATTTTAAGGATAAATATATTTTAAAATCACACTACTAGAATTTCTCCTTCTTGGTTTACGTTGCAGAAGTCAATCAGAAGTAGTAGAATATTAAAGCTCAAATTAAAGGCAGGCTAGTGTCTATCAATGGATAAAGGTGATATTTTACAATGTTTCCTCTTCTCATTTTCTCTCAGATCTAAGATAAAAGAAACAGCCTCTTTAACAAGTAGAGACTGGGCCACCAAGAAGAAATAGTGAATACTTAAGTAAAAGGCTGCCTCTTTCTACTGATAAAAGAAGAAAACAAAGACAGCTGGTAATGTAATTTTCAAAGGTGTGTGTGTGTGTCTGTCTGTCTGACAGAGACAAAGAGACAGAGAGAGAGGAGGAGACAGAGAAGTGACTGTGTGTTGGGGGGGAGGGTGCGGTTAATGGTTCGTCCTTATTTCTCCTTTCTTTTTACTTCAAAGCTTCAGAAATCACTCTATTATTATTCCTGGTAACCTGGAAGCAAATTATTAGACACCTATCAATTCAAACTCACTTAATATGAGCTTAGTTGTATTTTTCAAATATATTTTTACTTTTGGGGACAGGGAACTTCTTTTTCCTTTATAGAACATAAAAACAACAGCAAATAAGTGACTTCAGAGAGGCCCTGACTCACATACGGTTTTGATGGTGCACCCAATTTCTAGTGCCACTTTCTACAGATCAGTTTGGCAACACATAACAAAAGCCTTACAAATGCAAATGTGCTTTAACACAGCATGTTCCATTTTGGGGGCATTTATCTTATGGAAAGGATCTGAGATATTTATAAAGGTGTAGGAAGAATATTAGATATGATATATAATCTTCGATAAAGTACTGAAAATTTTGAAATAACCTTAAGTGATTGAGTGATTTAGAATTGTGGTAAATGTGGGACAGCCACAGAAGGGAATACTATGCCATCATTTAAAAAATGCACTCTGCAGAGGAATATTTAAATATACAAAAAAATTTTTATTATAGTTCCAAGGGGAAAAAGCAGGTCATAAAGCTGTAAAATATTTTTATCCCTGTTCGGTTTAAAAAAAGGGCGAGAGAGAAAATCTGAGTTCAAATACACACACACACCCCTGAGAGATAGACAGAATGTATATAAACCACATTTTTTATAGTGGTTATCTCTAAGTGGTTGGATTACAGATAATTTTTCTTTCCTGTTTGTACTCTCTGCTTTCCAAAATCTCCTTGAGGGGCCTATACTACCCCTGTAATGTAAAAAAGAGACAACACAAGGAAATAATCTTTTATCTTTAGTCTCAAGATATCCTATTTCTCAAATATCCCTTCGGCTAAATTGGTATTTTGTGATGTCCATAAGCAAAGCTTCTAAGCATATATTGATACTCCACATGAATACTTAAGAAACTGGTGATGTCTGGGGCTGGCTCCATATAAGCAGGTCAATCAGTGGATTTCTGAGTGTCCGTGTATACAGGTCTGACCTTTCTGGATGTGGGCACTGTGTGATATGGGTTGAGAGGTATGGAGATGCTCCTCCTGGACCCTCAAAGTTCTCCCCTTACAACTCAGAGATTATGGCTGACGTTTCACCCCCAGAGAGTCATTCCTCAGGCTTATGGCTTTTCACCCTATTAAAATGCAAATAACCCAGGAAAAGTACACATTAAACTTTACCTGTCACCTGGGTTAAATGAGTATAACATATCATTTTCTGAGATTAGGCTTTAACAGGGGAAGACATAGGAATTCGAGTGGGGCAGGCAGAGAGAATAAAGAGTGAAGGAATATATATATATATATATATATATATACACACATATATATGACATCTGAGGAACAATTAATATGCATAATAGTAATATTTTTATTTATGGTTTATGAATAACTTACATGTTATTGCATTTAATCTCAATTAAATCGAATAGAATGGCTCTGCCACCAAGGCAATTTAAGCAGACCAGAAATTGGGGAAAACATAGAAGATAAAATCTGCAGGATTTAAAATTGTTCTGGAGCCATTCTCAAAAGCCACTGTCCCACTCAATTATGTATACTGCTTTAATTTGCCCTTCTTTTTTTGACACTTTCTAGGTATTTGTGATACTGTTCAAATAATGACTGCATGTTGATAAAAAGGTCAGACTCAGTCAAGAAAATAAGACAACTTCTTGTTTCATATACTATCAATGTATAATGAAAAGAGAGGACCACTACTTTCCAAGAATTTTTGTTCTAAAATAAAATGGTCAATTGGAGACATACATGAAAGCATCAAGTCAAATACTTTAAAATGTTTGTAAGCATGAATCTTTTTATTAACCTATGGAAAATGGAGAAGAAAGGAAAGGACTAGAAAATGGCAATAAAAGAAGAAGGCAGAAGCATGAAAGGAGAACATATAGAATTGCTTCTTCTTCATTAAAATCTATCAATTTACTAAAAGACAGTCTATTGTGGTGGTTAAAAACAGACTCTGAAGCTGACTTCTTGGGTTCGAATCCCGGCTCTGTCATCTACACGCTCTGTGTCTGTGTCTCAATTTCCTCATCTTAAAAATGGGTATAATAATAATAGTATCTACCTTACAAGTTGCTATAAGGGTTAGGTTGGGTCATATTCATAATGTTGGCAGGCATAAAGTAATTGCCTTAAATGATGGTTCAACTCCACCAAACAAAAATAAACTCAACATGGATTAAAGATCTAAATGTAAGATTGGATACTCTGAAACTCTTAGAGGTAAACATAGGCAGAACACTCTTTCACATAAATTTTTCAATCCACCTCCTAGAATAATGGAAACAAAAACAAATAGGACCTAATTAAACTCAAAAGCTTAATCACCTCACACCAGTCAGAATGGCCATTATTAAAGTCTATAAACAATAAATCTTGGAGAGGGTGTGGAGAAAAAGAGGACCCTCTTACATTGTTGGTGGGAATGACAACTGGTACAATAACTATGGAGAACAGTCTGGAGGTTCCTTAAAAAACTTACAACAGAGCTATCATATAATCTAGTAATTCAGTAAGATACATGTGCCCCAATGTTCACTGTAGTACTATTTACAGTAGTCAAGACATGGAAGCAACCTAAATGACCACTGACAGAGGAATGGATAAAGAAGATGTGGCATATATAGATAACGGAATGCTACTCAGCCAAAAAAAAGAATGAAATGATGACATTTGCAGCGACATGGAGATTATCATACTAAGTGAAGTAAGTCAGACAGAGAAAAATAAATACCATATGATATCATTTATATGTGGAATATAAAAATATGATACAAATGAGCTTATTTACAAAACATAAATAGACTCACAGACTTAGAGAATGAATTTATGATTACCAGAGGAGAGGAGTTGGGGAGAAGGATAGATAGGAAGTTTGGGATTGATATACACATTGTTATATTTATAGTATGTTCCAATATTACACTTTCAGTTAACCAAGGTTATTCCTCTTGGTTATTAATTATAACAATATATTTAGTTATAAAATACAATATTTATTAATAATATATGAATACTATAATTAATTATAACATATAATTAATAAAATAGTAAAAAAATATAAAAAGAATGAAGAGAGGTCAAGGATAAAAGACAGATAAGAATAGTTAGGGAAGAAAACAGAATGGGCTGAAGTTTGAACTTACAGGCAGGTAGTATTTAATCAATTATATGAAGAATCATAGATTCACAGTAATATATATTGAATTGTCATATAATTATATGATATTATAAGTATCAGCTTTATGAAGTGAACTGCTCCGAGTAAAGATTCAAAAATATTACTTAACTGAGCACTTGAGAATACACTGTAGGAAATAATTGTGCATTAGTGGAAGGCTGGACAAAATCATCTAACTGGTCCTCCTCATCTTAACCTTCTGAATCCACCCACTAAGTCATATTTCAGGATGATTGGTGCCTCTAGTGCACTTGGCAGAGACTATCATAATTCAACTCTAAATAGCCACCAAGATGCAGTGAGGAGGGTAAGAGCTGAAAGTGGTCAATGACTTACTGGAAAGGAAGTGCTGGGACGCTGGGCCAAAGTCCCTGTGGGCTTCGTGCAGCTGCCTGATGCGGTCCTCAACAGCGACCTGGGAGGAAGAGGAGAGAAATGATGTCCTCTCATCAGATACAATGAGGCGCAATTAAAACAATGCACCCCTTTTGGTAAGATCTTTCGAGCTTCTAAGGCCGGAACACTAAAGCAACGATTTATAACCCTGTTTTAATATCCGCTTACCTTACGCGCTTTCCGAGACTGATTTTTATCAAACAGCCCAAGCGAGAAAGATTTGCTCTCTTGACAATGTTAAAATGAGACTTTTAAAAAAACACTCTACTCATTGGTAGCCATGAATGAACTACTGTTCCAGTTAGTACCATCAAAATTGCAAGCTCTTAAATGTTTCACAAAAAGATTTGTTAGGGAGGGCACCATCCGCCATTAAACTAGGTGACTGAAGGAACTCAGAAATGATAAATATTTTGTCTCAGCCTCTTGTCATCACCATTTTTAAAAAATCATACTGGCTGATAATTAATGGATACTGAATGATATTTAATCACTGATAATAAGTAACTAAGAGTTGATTGATACTTTATCTAAGAAATAAGAGGCAAGGTTTTAGGGTTGATGGTGAGAATAAAAAAATTTTAGATTTTACTGAACTTGGAAATTACTAGGAACTATACCTTTAACTGGCATGGATTAAAAATTGCCACTGTTTTTTCCCTATTATGTTTTTCTATACTATATTGACACAGTATTCTGTCAGCTTAGTGAATTTCATTTTGAGTGGATAAGAAAGGGAAAGAATTTTATGGGGGAAATGGTATATTTTGTCCATTGGCATTTTGCCAACTTTATACTAATGGTGGCCCCAGGCATCCTAGCTTTATAATTTCAGATCCTGATTTGGTTCTGACCAGGCTATGCTAAACCAGAGGTTAGTCAGCACTTGCCAGAGCCATCAGAGCTCAGGCAGGTTCATGCCTGTAAAACACATCTCAAATTCAACAGAAAAGTGACTCAGGTAGCCTGGTCTAAAGTTGACTCTGACCTTCCCATGTCAATCAAGTACCTAGCCCAAATCCAGCACAGTCTTCTTGTTGCACGTTCTCCTTACCCTTGTCCATCTTTGCTGGGACCAAATATTTCAAAAACCACGTAGAGTTCATAAAAATGAAGAGTTTGCTTCATTGTGATGCACACAAACACACAGGGGACATATGAAACCTACTTTCTCAGCCTTATGACCCTGCTGTTGCTGCTGCTCAGTCAGTAAATGGCCCTTTGGACTGACTGTAGCCCCCCAGGCTCCTCTGTTTATGGGATTTTTCAGGCGCCGATACTAGATTTAAAGGGACTAGATCTGATAGACAGAGTGCCTGATGAACTATACGGAAGTTCATGACATTGTACAGGAGACAGGGATCAAGACCATCCCCAAGAAAAAGAAATGCAAAAAAGCAAAATGACTGTCTGAGGAGGCCTTGCAAATAGCTGTGAAAAGAAGGGAAGTGAAAAGCAAAGGAGAAAAGGAAAGATATTCCCATTTGAATGCAGAGTTCCAAAGAATAGCAAGGAGAGATAAGAAAGCCCTTCTCAGTGATCACTGCAAAGAAATAGAGGAAAACAATAGAATGGGAAGGACTAGAGATCTCTTCAAGAAATTAGAGATGTGAAGGCAACATTTCATGTAAAGATGGGCTCAATAAAGGACAGAAATGGTATGGACCTAACAGAAGCAAAATATATTAAGAAGAGGTGGCAAGAATACACAGAAGAA